GCTTCGGACAGGCCACAGAGAGGCCGCAAGAGGCCTGCCGGCTGCCGAGAGGCTTTTGAAGGCGGTCCAAAATGCCTAACGTTGCCTTCGGAAGCCCATAAGAAGAGAGGAGGCAGGCTTCAGACAGGCCACAGAGAGGCCGCAAGAGGCCGGAAGCCCATAAGAAGAGAGGAGGCAGGCTTTGGACAGGCCACAGAGAGGCCGCAACAGGCCGGCCAGCTGGTGAGGCCTCGGACAGGCCTTTGGAAGTGCTTGGAAGGGTTCTGCTAGGCTTGGCCAACTGCTGCATCCTGCGCCTTTGGAAGTGCTTGAAGGGTTCTGCTAGGCTTGGCCAACTGCTTCACCCTGCGGTGTCCCAGGCGCCTCCCCGCCTAGGCTTTGGCTATAGGCCGGGGTCGGCGGATTACTGCTACTGCTGTTGGGGTGGTCGTTTGCGGTCGTCGCCGCCGCACTGAGCAGTCATTGCTATTCTGCCATGTTAGAAACCCTGCCCACTCTTCTCAGCCTAGCAGGCCTAGCACCCAACATGAATGTTTACAGACAATAGAGACATGTGCAAGCCCTTTTATTGTCCAGCCCAGGTAGCTTTGACAAATCTTCTTCGCATTACCTGAAGCTCTTCCCAGATGCTTCTGGCACCTTTCAGGAATGAGAGCAGTATATACATGGAATTTTGGGAGAACCAACTTCTCCCTTTCACAGGTGTCCTTCAAAGTCTCAACATTCAGTGAGTTGACTTTCGCTTGGAGTTGGTTTCGTGACTTCCTTTCATTCTGATTCAGATGTTGTGACAGAGTTCAGGTGCCAATGACTCCAAGTTTATCAAGTTATCCGTGGAGTTGTTTGTAATAAGTCCATGAAGGAAGATTTCTTCGAGAGAGATGTCCATGCTGTTTGCTCCTTGACATGGAACTTGTTCAACTTTGGCTACTTGTGGCAAGGAGAGCGATTGCTCGCAGATAGCTGAACACTTGAATAGCCAAGCAGCCGATCAGGAGCGCACGTTTGCCCAAGTTTTCAGCAAAGAAGAGACACAATTTGAACCATCGTCACCCACGTGTCAGGTGACTGATGGGTCTTACGATGTTGCAATTCTGACGTGGTCTCATGTGCAAGTCACGAAGCCAGGCGTGTCACGGTTTTTGCCAGTTTCCAAAAGATGCGGCAGAGTCAGCAAACAACGAGTCACTTTGTTCATGATGCAGTGCATGCTTTGTCCTCAGCTGCATGTAGGTGTGTACCTCTCAGTTCGAGCCTCCGGAAGAAAGGAAATAGATCAAACCCTAGTGGTTGGGGTCCTCGTTTTAAATTTGTTAAAATGCACACACATGTGCTGCCGGCCACATGGTCTGAAGTCTCATTTTGTTGTGGAAAGGTTGTAAACTGCTTGTGTTCAGTATTGCCAGGATGGTATGCAGCTTGCTACTGCGAAAACACCGGGATCAATGAGTGCAAGGTGCTGAAGTGTTTCGTGGAGTCATTCGTTTTTCTCATGTTCTGCAGCCCAGGAGTGGCAGCACTTGGGGTCCTATTTGGTTTCAGGAACATCTCATGTGCATGGTGCTTTGGCAGCTTCACAGTCTTGAAAGTCTCTTTTCTCAGTCGTGTTCACTTGAGAATCTGAAGTGCCTTCCTTAAGGTGGTGACTTCGTAGCTCCTTGGCTTCGATTTCCTCTTCACTTGCAGGGCTTTGGTTTCTCAGCCACAGACCGGCTGCTTTTGCGAGAAGGGACCAATTGCATCACCGATGAGGCGCCGTCACAGAGCGCTTTTGGGAGCAAACGGCGTCAGCAGTTTGATCGGCAGAGAATCTGGAGCAAAGATGATTTGAAGTAGTAACAAGTGCATCGCTACTAGTAACAAGTGCCTTACTAGTAGTAACAATGTTTGCTATTAGAATTAGAATTAAATTAATGGAGCACTAGTAAGGATGCGGCCCTTTGATGCCCTTTGGCAAAAGCGCAGGTTGGACTGCTGCCAGAACCATTATTGGGTGAGCCCGGCCGTTTGTGTGCGCCGGCCAGTCCGAGTAGGAGAACTGGTGAAGGCCTCCATGCATCCAAAAAAACTAGCTTCTTGTTACTACTAGTAAGGCACTTGTTACTACTAGCGATGCACTTGTTACTACTAGCACCTTGCTTTGCAGACTGTTGAAGTGTCACTAGTTCTGGATTGTCACACGAAAACACAATTTGCAGTACTTTTACGTGCAAGCTGCAAACATCTGCAAACAGAACACAGAGCAACACAAAGGATTTGGTTTACCCAAGGTTTACATGCTTGTCAATGCCTCAGTTCGCAGAACCAGTGCCAGGTTCTGGTGGGAAAGCCTTTCAAGTTCGCCAAGATGGAGAACGTGTTCGCTTAGAACTGACGGAAGCCCATGGTCGGCACCTGAGGATTGAAAGGACATTCATGGATGTCCAGGCATGGCTTTGCAGCATGGCTCACAAACCATCATTATAAACCTCTCACAGTTTAACACACCACACTATTTGACAAAATAAGGTCTAATTGCTGGAGATGTCCTTCGCTTTTCAAACCTCACCATTGCCAACTTGTCCAATGTAACGAATTCCACACTTGGCGAAGACATCAAATGTCTCCTGGCCTCAAGAAACAAGAGATCATCATACGTTTGTCATGTGTCACTGAAACGGCCAGTCTTTCCCTAACTGTGTTTGGCACTCTGGAAGGTATTTTGGAATCGCCGATTGCAGTGATTGCTGCACCATCTCAGATGGACTTGGTGCTGGACGTGAGCCTAACTGACGATGAGCTCTCCAGCCGAAAATCAAGATCCCTGACCAACGGTCCCCTATTGTACCTCCTTTGGCTTTTTGGACAGTTGGTGCTTCTGTATACTGACGATCTTGTACCCCCCCTTGTTTCTTTTCCAGGCGTTCTTGCGCCATGGACCCTTATTAAGTTTTGTATAAATTTATACAACTAGTGTTTCTTAGTGCTTTGATTTCGCTTTGGTTTTGCATGTCCTCGCAAGGTTGGGAACTGTTGACTTCAGCAGTGCTGGTTGGGTGACAGAGTCCACATTAACTTTCGAAGTCCATGCCATTGCCGCAGCCACACATAGTGTTGCATGGCTGCACTGCATGTTTAGTGCAAGGAATATATATATATATCCAAGGCCTTGAGCCATTGCCTGTTCGCTTTTCCAGGTTTGCTGGGCAGAAGCAAAGTTACGAATTGCTTTGCTCGAGATCAAAGAGCCTCCGCTATTCAGGTCATGTGATCGGTTGATTTTTGCAACTTGTACTTTCCTCATTTCGCCAGTTTGCTCGTTTGATCTTGTTTGCAAGGTCTGAGCTTCATTTGACCACGAGCTTGCCGAAGACACTTGCTCCTAGCTCTTTGGCACGTCATGAGGTAGCGAACGAATGACACCGTGGCAAAGCTATTTTGTGATGCTCGTTTCGAAAGGCAGAGCAGAGGCGATTTCTTCACTCAACCTAAGGGGATCAAGTGTGTAGAGAATATATTGACATGTGGGCGTCCCCTCAGTCAACACAATTCATGTTTCACTGCTTTAAAGCCAGCTGGACTGATACTTTCTGCTCAGCTTGACAATTGTTCAAAATCTGAGGCTGTTATTTTGACATGTTTTGACTCTGAGGCGTGTTGGCATTTCAAAGTAATGCTGCTGCACATGGAGTGACACGCATTGCTTTAGCCTTCAGAGATCAGCAGCTTCTAGGTGGGAATGCTTTTGGTTGTTCCATGTTCTCTTTTGGTTTGCGCAAAGGAAAGGGTCACCACGGAAAATATTTGACTAGTCAAATAAAGCTGACGCTCGTTTGGTTTGCCTGATTTGGCCCACACTGAGAAGCATTTTTGTTCAGGGCATGCCTTCATTCCTCAAGGTCATGACCTTGGCATAGAAGAGTGAAACACCTTGGGGATGCTTGGGGCGCTGTGGCAGTTGTGAACCGGCATTCTTGTGTTTTCACAAATAAGGTGAGCCTTCCGTGGTCTCTTGGCAAAATGCTCGCCAAGACATATGTGGCCAGCTGTTTCGTGAGCTTTGGTCGGAGGATGAGGCAGAAACAAGCATTCGCCATTTCACGGTCAAACAAGATCGTGCTGAAATACACTCGAGTGTGGAGTGATCAATTCCAAGAAAAGACAAACTGATGCGTGACTAAGAGCATCCTCCCTCATCAAAAGTTCTCGAATGCAGCTCAACCAATTGGAACCTGTGTAGGATGGCTTCCCGCAACCGTCTGGGTGCTATTACAGTCCCTTCTCAGAGTGTCTTGGATCGCATTGCTCATAAGGGGTATAAGATCCAGATGAAGACGCCACAAGGCAGACTTGTTTGGAGAGATGAGCTAGAGCCGGACTGAGTGGACTCTTTTTTGTGCAACCAAGGTATGGTGCCATGGCTTATGGCTGTGTTTTGCTGTTGCTTCGGCTTTTGTTCTCTTTTCTCGGCAACAATTAGATGGTCCACCAGGTCTCTCCTGCTGTTGGATTGACATACAGTTACACTGAAAACACGTGTTTCAGGCACCCAGCAGGGCTTGCGAGCAAGAAACTTGTTGATAGTCTGAAAAGCAAAGCACCTTGTGTCCAAGGCATGGTGTTTCCTGTTGGTCGTGGCCCAAAAGCAGGAGTGAAATATCAGGCACATATGGTGCGAGCAGATGGGCGCTCTTTTCTATTCATCCTTTCCAGTGGGTTGGACATCTGTGTCAGGTTCTGTCCGTTTAGATATGGCTCAGTTTGGACAGAGATATCCAAAAGAAAGTTGAGCCTGGCAGGTGGTGATGCTGACGCAGCTACGTTACAGTGTGTATACTGAACACGCCCCTCGGCGGTAAATCCAATCTGAATATGCAAGTCTATGGCTTAGGGATTGAGTTTAGGATTGAGATTGCTTCGCTTCTTCTCCTGTCCGTCCAGGAGTGGCGCATATTTGACTCCATGGTTCCACTGCCACCGATTCAGCCATTTGAAGCAGTCAGTGTTTTGTCTGAACAGTGTCTCGGGCTCTCAGGCTTGGCTCGCTAAGTGACGCATCAAATAGTCGAAGATTGAGTTTGTATATTGGAATATACCGCATGCAGAGTAGTAGTGAGGGGCAAAGTATTTAGCCTAAAGAATCCTCGCTGATTTGATGCAATGTAGTTCAATGAGAGGCGGAAACTGCTGCATGATGCGCATTATGCAGCCAAAGTTTCTTCAATCGAGTCTAGGGCATCAAAGAAGCCGTCGAGAACCACAGAAATAACAAGTACTTGTACCTGAAGTTTGACATAGTCCAAAGGTAGTCTGAAGTCTGAAGCATATCACTTGGCGGCAAAGGGCGCAGTGTTCAGAGATGGAAGGGTCCTTGCCTTGTGAGGTGGTGACGACATGGGTGACATTGGTGAACAGCCCAGCATGGAAGCCTGTTGGGAAGAGTGTGTCAGGCTGACTCGTTGCCACTTGGCCGTTGGCTTTTGTTTGAATTGCTGAGTAATGGACCCAAAACCAAAGTGGATCCGATTAATTTCTTTGGGCAATAACAAGCAAGCTGGCACACGAAGGTCTGGGACATCTCGAAGCTTTCCATTCCGTTCTGTCTTTCAGATTGAAGAACTGAACAAGAACTGCTTTCTGTTGCCTTTCTTTTCAGGCACTGTAGCAGTGTATCGGCGCTCAGACCGGCACTGCATTGTGGCAGATCTTCGTCGGCGTGAACTGCTGCAAACCACTGCGGATGGATCTGGATCCAACGTGACCATGTTCCTCATGGAAACTCGGAGAACGTCATGGCGCCAACAGAAAAACCTGTTAGGCTTCTGACAATGTTTAGAGCTGGAACAGAGCCCAACTAGTCGGGTCTAGTTACTTAGTTCCAGATGTTCCAGTTACTTAGTGGGTCTTGTTTTGCACCGTGTAGAACAACGTGCCCAGTGATCCAGTACACCTGTCTCCGCTCACGAGTTCGCGGGGCAACCTACTAAGTTACCTAATCGTAGCTTCCTCCTTGGTTGAGACCGAGGACCGTTTAAATGGAACTAGCCTACCAGAACGAGCCATCGCAGACCTGTGGAGCCTAGAAGACTCTTCAAGGTGTGGCTGTGAGACTCAGTGGTGAGGTGAAAATAAGGTAAAAGAAAGAGAATTCTTGCATCTTACGTTACGAGTAGAAGGTGTCACCGACAGAAACCTAGCATCTTTGAGAAGCTTTTGAGTGTCCCTGGCAATCTAGGAACTGTATGGAACTGTAAGGAGAAGCTTCGTTCAAAACCACTGCTCTACTGCATGCTTGTTGCTGGCTACTAGATGTTACAAGAGCTTGCTGCCGCTACCACTTGACCTAGTTACTAGCCTACCTTTCACGAAAAGCAAGCATGTGCAAAAATTTGTTCAGTCATTTCTTTGAATTAGGTTGGAGGCCGTCGCCCTTAGGTTGGAGGCCATTCCTATTAGGTTGGAGGCCACCGCTATTAGGATGGAGGTCATCGCTATTTGTTTTGCTAGTTCGCGTGGGCCACAGCAGAGAAAGTTTGAGGCCTTGGCCGACGGTAAAGGTTGCGGAAGCCTCCATGGTCAAGTTGCGAGCTACGCCACGGCACCCAGCCTTGGCACAAGACCCACGTTGGGCCCCGTTTGACGGACTGAAGCCTGGAGTGCAAGCCTCACGAATGCTGTCCTGAGGGTGGTTTGGAGTTGTATCATGTTAAATCCTGAGTCTCTCGATCAATTTTAATCAAAGAGTCTTCACACGCCACCACTGAAACATTCTTTTCGCCGTCAGATATGTGGGGACTGGTCACCAGCAGAGCAAAGTTCTCTACGACTGAATCCTTCGCTGCTCTTTACAGAGCTAAGGAAGATTGTGGATCTGGATGGGCAAAGTGCACCATGGCCGAAAGCAGCCAGATGGTTTTGTGTTTTGCTTTTGTAACGAAGAGAACATCATGGCTGAGAGCTGTTGATGCTTTGACAGCATGATTGCCGATTGGTGTTTTTTTGTGCGGTGTAGCGGCACGCTCTTTTTTTTTCTCTCTCTCTCTCTCTCTATTGAGCCCAGGCTGAAGGACCCATGTTGCTCACTCAACTAGCTCTTCGCCTTCGTACAGCTCAGGGAAGTATCTTACAGGAGCGCTCCAGTGCACAGTGAGAGAGATGTCTAAGCACAGATTCAAAAGACTCTCTCTCTCTCTCTGTGGTTGCCTCTTTTTCGAGACTTGACACGCAATTTCAGGCCGGGGATTTGCTGCGGCTCTACATGTGGCCTTTGACTTCTTGGGATCTCAAAGTTTGTGAGGCTCAGTGTGTGCTAAGCTTGGAACGGATGCGCATAGACTTAGACATTGTGCTTATCAAGTGTGAAGAAGAGGAACGGGGACAGGGCCGCTCGCTACCACGGTGCGAAACACATTTGGCTCGAGCAGGTCGTGCAGAACTGAGCATATAAAGCAAAAGGGGGCCAAAGCATATCATGGACGTAAGATGAAATAAGTGCTTCTTTGCCAGTATGTGAGTTCGTGGTGCAACGCTTGAAAACTGCCAACCGACTCAATACGGAAAACATTGAAAAGACGCTACAATTCGATTCAAGCTCCATCCGAAATTGAACGATGGCATGGCGAAGGCCGAGCCTTCAAGCGGCTTGCTACGGCTTTTCTGATTTTCACTGGCCGGAGGTCTGTGTGGTTTGCATGGTCCTTTGCGTGGTGCCAATTTGTGAAGCATTCAATGAGCGGTGTCCCCAGCCGGATGTGGTTGATCGCTTTTCAAGGCTTTCAAGGCAGAACTCGCAATGCGACTCGCAGCTTTCTCAAGTCCTTTGCATTTCAACATGTCTTGAGAAGGCCACAATGCCACAAAAGGGAATCACGTTTCGCATGGCTTGTCACTTTGCATGTCGCATTTGCGGTTTTCAACGTGGAAGATTTGAAGGCTTCGCGGGCCTCCAGATCGAGAGGGTTGTGAGGCGTGGTAAAGTCAGAGGTTCTGAAGTTTGGACTGCACTGATGTTCAAAAGCGAGTTTTTGTTTAAGCCCGCTCGTCCCTGCTCAATAGGCCATCGGGCCATCGCTATTAATTAAGTTGGAGGCCATTGCTAGTAGGTTCCTTGTTGTTGAGCTTGCAACACCTAGTTACTAGACTTGAAAAGCATCCTGTTTGGTTTACAGTTGAGCTTGTCTTGTTGGGGCTTTTGGAGATGTCCCTTCTGGTTCACACTTTGACTGTGACTGTACCTCAGTTTTAATTGTTCCGCATGCTCCGCCAGGATGAAATCGAGGAAGTGCAAAGCATTCAGCTAAAGTTGGAATGAGAAAAATATCAGAAGATGTGAAAGAAGTCAATCAGAAGAGTGAAGCAATGTTTAAAGTATGTGTTGCTTTTGTTTTTTGGAAAACTCCGAGAATCAGATGAGTGAGAGTCAGAGTTCATCTGACAGGACTGCCCAGAATTGAAAGAAGAGCTCTTCGACCTCACAGGCTGAGACTGAAGGAAAAACCGTTTGCTTCGCTGGAGAGTTTCTGTTATGCTTATATAGCCCAGTCCGTCTTATGCGTTCTATCAGATTCTATCATGTTCTATCCACGTAAGAGTTGCAATATCAATGATGGTGGCTTTGATATTTGCGCAAGATGAAATGACAGGGCATTGCCGCTATCCAGCAGCTGAGCTTTGCCACTTGGCTTGCTGTGTTGAGTGTTGCTAGACTTCCATTTGTCATCATCACTACGTGCTTTGGGGTCCCTCAAAACTTGGTCCCACTGCCTTTGAATATGATCTAGATATATCTATATAGATGAAAAAGCATGTCCACCAAGGCATGAAGCAACCTGGATCAAGCGGATGTTTGTGCAGAGAGGGTATTCTTGAAGCAATCCATTGGCAACATGTATCATGACGAATCTATTTCTGAAGAGCGAGCCCGCTTTGACATGTTTTTCTTTGGCATGTTTTTGACATGTTTGACAAAAGAAAGAAAGAAAGAAAGGAGCTGAAAACAGGAAGCCGTAAAGCTTTACCTTCCTTGCTTCATACGTGTTTCTTTTCTAAATTGTATATTTCTTGAAATATAATACTGTATGTGTTCTTTCTCTTTTGTTGTTGTAAATATTTATATATGATATTTACACGTGATGTGGCACATATGATGACATGTTCTTCAAGGACCTGTGGCCTTTGCCGCCGTGTGCGGCTGGCACGAAGATGTGAGGTTTCATCCTGCCATCCCTTTTGCGTGCCGTGGCTGACATGGGATGACACGGGTTTTGTAGAAAGCAGGGTAAGGAAGCCTACGTTGGTGAACACAACGCTTTGCTCAGATTCAATGGGTTCCAACAGCAGACAAACCAGTTGGAAGAAACCTCGGGCATCGTTTCTGCCCAAACCGGAAGGGACAGCTCCGATGTTTGCGGTGTTTCTGCGCGGTCCGCTTGGAAAAGTATGGCAATCAAGACTCAAGACTGTTGAGACGTTTCAGTGAATTCTGTTGATCGTTGGCACCTTGTATCAGAGAGCTTCGTTGGTGACACGTACTCTGTGTTTGTGGTGGCGGTCGAAGCTTAGCTTCAGGGAGGCAGGGAGATGTGCAAGACTTAGAAGCCAATGAACGGAGCATGCAAGAAGGTGGACGATTAATTTGGCGGAATTGTTGACTTGACAAACAGGCTCCAGGGAAGGGAGGTGGAGGGGTGGTTTTGCCATTGAATGGAAATTGCAAGAAGAGGAAGAATAGCTGACTGGAGAAGCCACCAGCTTGAACATAAATGGATGGCAGCCTGCTGAACTGCAATGCCAAGGGGCCAAGAGAATCATGCAACTCCTGTCAAGGGACTATGTGTCTAGGTGGGTTGGATCAAGTAAGCAAATTGTTGGATCAAAGCTTTGATTCAAAAGGTATGGATCACTGTCCCCGCAGCGCCGAACGATCCATACCAGAGTTTCTGGCCACACTCATTTCGTCTCTTCCGTGCTGCCTGGGGGTTGAAGGATGGCGTCAGCCCTAGCGAGCAGGTTTGCCCATGGGGTTTGTTTGGGTTGGATGGTCACGACGCCGAGACCAGCAGCGGTCAGAGGAATGGTCAGGGCAATGCGGTGCTTCTCCGATGGAAGGCTTTTCGATCACCATCCTTTAGCACATCTCGAACCTGGATATTTCTCATAACAGGACCTGGCGCAAAGGGTGCGTGGCTGGCTCTCACGGTTGCACAATGTTGCACATGTGCACTTCCGTTTCCCGGGTGCTTTGCAGATGTTTCCTTAGGCTTGCATGATGAGAAACTTGCACCCACAAGGCAAACCCAAAGAAATCTGTTAATCCAGCTGGGAAGCTGCAATGAGCTCCTAAGTTGGGCGACAAGAAGCTGGAAGCTCCACGTCCTTCTTGCTCTATTTTTGTGATGTGTTGTTCCTGTTTTTTCTACTATATATATATTGCGGAGACACGAACCCTCACCTAAGGGCTACAAGTGGGCTCTTCTTTCCACGGCCTGAGCATGAAGGTCCCTGTCGTGTCACGGGTGGACATCAAGACTGCTATAACTTCTAAAATTCAACGAAGCTCCATGGATCGTCATCCTTATCCGAAGGATCATAGCCATCAAAGGTTGGAAACTTCCTGAGCAGTCTTTTCGGCAGCCATCTCACTGCCGTCACAACGTCACCAGCCTTTCAGGACTTGAACCGGCGAGGCACGGTCGAGTTTGGGAAGCGACCCTCAGCCGATTCGAATGCCTCAGCGTGAGCTGATAGATACATCACAAGGTCTTTGACCGGAGCTGACAAATTCGTGCGATCCTTTTGGCCGATCAACCATCGAGTGTAGCTGATGAGCTCGGTATCGGAGGATGTGGCCAACTCTTCATAGCTCATTCCACGCTTGGACAGCTTTCCGCACTCAATGAGGGTCTGGCCCCAATGCTGCAAGGACACCACTCCCTGGGGTAGCTCCAGCTGACGAGTCACCCCGGATGACTTGGCTTTGGCCTTTGCCAAAGGAAGCTGAGAAAGCTCCGGAGATCGGCTTGGAGAAGGGTTCAACCGGCGCTTGGATGAATCGTTCATAGACCCTCCATGCTGATAGCCGGATTCGGACACCAGCTCAAACTCTCCATGCTCATATTGAATCAGCTCATTCAGCAGCTCATGCACTGAGCCTTCATCTTTCACCTTAGCCAGCAATTCCTTAACGGCTGCGGACAATTGCGACGACGAACCAGCCATTTGGCCAGGAGGAAACTGCCAACAAAATCTCGAAAGGACCTAGTCGTGACAGGAGCGGCTTTTTGCTCCTTTCAAGCCAGAAAACAGCTGCAGTGCAATCACCCCATAGATTATACGCATCTGTATATTGGCACTATCAAACGAGCTTCACCGGCAAGCTCTAGCAAAAAGGTGAATTAAACACGAAAACCATGCACACTCAATCACTGCTCACAGTGATGCTTCATGACAGGCATTTCCCTCATCTTCGTGAGAGTGGTTGGCACTCTTACCAGATCGAGCGAGTTGAAGCTGTTTACGATGTTCCTTCTCACGTGCTTGATGCTTCAACACAGTTTCTTCGGGGGAGATCTGGTACATGGATCTTTTCATGCATGACCTCAGAAGGTCAACCGGGTCACCATCATTCTTAGTAAGAGCGTCGGCAAGCATGCGATTTGTGGGTACCCATCGAATATGAGCGGACATGGATCTACAGCTTTCACGGATGATCACGACATCGATACTGGTCCGTCTGTCCTCAATTGACGTGGGGGAAGAAGGAGATTGCAAATGATCATACAGGCTTTTACAATCCGTCACAACGATAGGCCTGCGCCTTTTCAGGACGTCTCGGCATGTTCGAACGTCAAGTGGCCCATCAAAAATCTCAGCCAGCAACAACAAGATCCACTCGGTTGTTCCAGTGGCAATAGCCAAAGCTTGACTTTCCGCTGACATGGTGCTGCTCACTGCACGTTGCAATTTGAAGCTTTTCCATGAGGCTGGACACCAAGGGGATTCATGGCCTTCTTGCAAGGACTTATCAGTGAAACCGATGATGTACCCAGCTTGTGTGTGATTTCCTCTATTCGCAAAAGCAGCATCGCTATGACAAACCAACGTCAAGTTCCTGGGCCGGATTGCCTTGAAGGTGATTCCAAGCTTATCATGTTGTTTTGCTCGGCGAACAGCCTGATTTGCCATACGAAAGTCTTCGATCTTCGGCTTGGGAAAGGCTTGCTGTGCAAGACTGGTTTGCACGCACAGATCCGGTCGTGACTGAGACGACAGCCATCCAAGACTTCCATTTACCGCTCTCAACACCTTGACCTGGCTGTCAGACAACAGTTCATCAGCCTTACTAGTCTTTGGAACATTAATGGGGCGTATTTTACCAGCGAATGCACTCATATCCATGTGAATTGACATGTCATCCAGTTGATGGTACCATGCACCACAGAACTCTCCAGTTTGAATCCGCCACTTTCGGTATGGAAATCTAGTTCGGAGTTTCTTGATGGATTGATTAAACATGTCCCCCGATCCGCCCACGGCGGTATCGTCAACGTGCACCCCCATTACCCCAACCAAATGGTTTTGACCATCCCGGAGCATGAACAAGCAAGGATCTAGAACACTTTGATACCAACCGTTTTCTTTGAGGAACGAACTGAACTCCTTGAACCACGCCGCCGGGGCGTCGTTCTGTCCGTAGACGTTACCCAGCACTTCTATCACAGCGTCGGCTGGCAAGCCAGGGATGCCCCCTGGGGGCTGTCGAGCGAAGAGCGGCCGAAAGGCATCATTCAGAGGACCTGCCTCGAGGAATGCGCCTTTTATATCGCCTAGCTGCAACTGCCATTGCATGGATGCAATCGTTTGCATGAGGCAAGTCCTTCCGAGTTGACTAAGTGTCGGAGATTTCAACAGGCCCATCTCGGCCTTATGCGAGAGATCTGGGTCCAAGTGACCCTGCAGACACCATCGTCCCTTGACTGAGAAGGTCTCGACATTATTCGGATCAACATCCTGGCCCTCTTCGAGTGGTTTCCTAGTCAACACGAACCTGCTGCCAATGAAACGGTGGGCTTGAGTTCTCTCGATCTCACGAGCCTTAGCTCCGTAATGCACTCGCACCGAATTTGGCTTGTTCAGGATGGTTTCCCATTCAGTTCGCTTGCCTTCCTGCACTTTACATTGTAGCTCAGGTGGATTATTACTGTGATGAATCTCTTTACTCATTTTCTTCTTGAGGTATTCCGACATGAGACACTCCCAAGAAACATCCTGAGCGCTCAACAGGTCAGTCACATCTTCTACACTCAAGCTTTCGGTCATTCGGGGCTTGGCCGTCGGAGGCTCTTCGTTGGAAGGAGATGCGGGTCTTTTGTGCTGGGACATGCTTGCATCTTCAACCAACTTAGGTACTACTTCTTTCATGATATCTACGAAGTCTGCCTGCCGCATGGCAGGAGGGCGCCATAATGTCATGGGTCCGTCTTTTCCTTCCACTCTCCGACGAACAGGTCCATAGGAGGACTTCGCAGAAACTTCCAGTTCCCTTGCTGCCTCAGACTCACCTTGAGCTCTAGTTCCGATCACTGTGGATGATTTCTGATCAGATGAACTGCTTTCACCCGATGGTTCGGTTGATGACTCCGTCTGGACCTTCTGATTCACGTCCATTTCGGGCGTCTTCACAGGCACGGCGAGTTCGAGATCGGCTGGCATTGGCACATCCTGGGGTGCTACTACAGTCTCCTGCTTAGCAGGACTCGGAGGCTCAACATTTCCTTCCTGGGGAGGATATGACTGGGGCAACAGGTCTATGTATTGTTTACTCATGAGATTACCTTTTTCAATCATATCTTTGATTCCAAGAAGTTCGGCACCGGGAGCCGTGATGAGACACTTCTCTTCATTAGTAGCATGTCGAACCTGCTCTGGAGCACACCGGATGATCTGACGCCTATGCACGATGACCAAGTTGCGTCCGACCTGACCCAGCACTACCGCGGTCCCATACCATTGACCTCCTTGGTGCAATTGACCTTGGACCCACTTTTGGTTTCTCCAATATGCCACAAGATCACCAGGATTAAACACTACCGTCTTTCGGGGTCGAGCTAGCAAGGCAACCCGAAGGGCACGATCATCTTGCATCTTGGTCAAAGCAACTCGAGCCGCGACCCTCATGGCCTGAGACTTGGCCAAAGCTTCATCGGTCAACGATGCGGTGGCAGGTACAATTTGCAGGGGTTCACTCAGCAAGTCTTGTGGTATGTGAGGATTCTTGCCAAACACAAACTGATGTGGTGAATATCCGTGCACCTGCAGTTGCTGGTTCTTGATGTGACAGTGACTGACACACTCTAACCATTGTTCTTTAGTGGTCGGTGAGAACTCATCTAACAACCGTTCAAGGACCCGATTAAACCACCCCCCATGTGTTTCGCACTTCCCTAGTTGCCAGTGTGCACCTGCGGCGATCGGTCGAATTTGAGTTCCCTCAAGCTCTGCCGGAATAACCATTGGGTCTCCCAAGTTGGTCCTGGCTGGATCAAGCACTATTTCTTTTGGAGTTCCTGCCCATGAGATCCAGTGATCCGAGAACAATTTTCGAAGCACACTAGATGTTTCCGTTTCGAAAAATGGGATGATCCGCTGAAAGCTACTTGCTGTGTCGACTATGTTCAGTGCTTTCACTCTCTGATTGGGCAACCATCCAGTCAGGTGTTTCACGTCCAAACCAACTTGCTGATTGAACTCTGACACCCGATTGGGTTGTGATGGCAGTGGAATCTTCGGCTTGAGCTGACTCCGGCACAGGTCGCACGAAAACTCTTTGGCCAAACGAAGTGCTTGCTCACTTGCTTGACCGTGCTTCAGGATCCGAACAAGATCATGGTTTGGGGGATGTCCCAAGTTCCGATGTAGCTTATCGAGAACCGGAATCAGCTCACGGTCAGATTTGTCACTCACTGAGCTCGCGGCCAAGATCTCCGTCCAGCGATCAGGGGGAACCAGGTCTTCTACTACCATGATTGGATGACCGACATCGGCTTCATGATCATGTTCCCCTCCCACATGAGATCTCCTCTGGTTGACTGTTTTCAGAACGGCTTGATTGAAAGGCCTGGGATAGGCACCAGCGAAAGTACTTATGCTAGGTACTCCTGGGGCACCTCCTGCTATCGTGTCATGACATGCATGGGTTCCCTGGTGATCGCACCGAAGACCTAGGCTCTCCATGTCGGCATGGGACACGAGCAGACGAGTGCTCTTCCGGATGAACCGCTCACTCTTCGGCAACTTCATGCCGTACCTGCACATGTGCAATTTTACCGTGGTGAACCGACGACAAAGCGATTGCACCTCAGGATAACTCCAAGTCCTAGCTCCAGTGGGATGCTCGAACACAACTCGGCAACCTAGCTGAACCCCCATACGGAAAAGCCTACAGCACCATCGGATATAGCTACGACTCTGGGCCTGGAGTTTCAAGACCGTGAATCTATTCCAATGCGACCTGTTCAAATTGAACCACCCCCCTTCATGTGTGCAAGGAGGGCACAGGACCAACAGCTCCGGTGGGTCCTGCAGTAGATCTTGCTCCACTGACTTCCTGCACGAAGCTCGGCGGAAATCGTATCCATTCATCAAGTCGTACGATCGGGCACGACGCTTGCATTGGTTTGCTTCCAGAGCGAATCTCGGCGGCGAAAACACTTCCATGACAAGACATTTCTCACGCGGATGAACGGAATGGACGGCAAGACAGGTCTTGAACTGGCTTTCCAACTGTCGAACCTGGTGCGGGGTCGGACTCCAAAGACCCTCATCGGGAATCGGCTCACCTAGGTACTCAAACTCAGTGCGAACATGGGGTACACGATGCTTGAGACGAACCATAGTCTTATGTTGCGCAGTCCCTGGATTTATGGGAGAATCATCAAGTAGTTGATTTGTGTCATGATCAAAAACTCTTCTCCTAATGACTTTCTTCCAGGCTGGGCCTGATTTTGACAACCAAGGTGTCACACACACATCGCAATTCTCCTGGGTCCAAATCGATCTCATCGGTTCGGCAGCAGCTTCTGCCAGCGAGGCTTCTGCATCGTCCACAGTGGGTGGAGTTGGATCCACCGTTTCTTCCGGATCTCCAGCCGGGACCAGAGACATGACTTCCGAAAAGGAGGCTGCGGACACTTCGGATTCTTTGGACTCTTTGGGGGAAATCAGATTCACCACATATTGACCAGCTTCGTTCACCTTCAGGGGGATGGTTTGTCCAAACACTTGGAGGCAATCATGTTGAAAATCAAGCGAGGCACCAAGACTCTTCAGGGCGCTTCGGCTGAGGAGAAGAGGGGCATCTCCTCGAATCACTGCAGCCCGGATCACTCCCTTCCGGTTCGCCAGAGTCACCGGCATTTGAACCGAAAAATGTGAAGTCTCAATGTCACCATTTCCAAACTTAAACTGATGAAGCTCCGACACGCGTTGAGGCACTACCCAACCTTGTTGTCGCCATAACTGCTCAAAGCTCAACAATGTTGTAGCGCCAATGACTGTCCGTCCACAGCCTGAATCGATCACTCCGTACCCAGGAGACGAGACCAGCATGATTTCATCAGGGGTCGTCGCCCTCACCGGGATGTCCTTGTCGGAGCGCGGGAAACGATTCCGCACCTGATCCAGCAGTGTGGGGGTCGCCGTCACTGAGGCTTAAAGTCAATCTCCTCAACTGTCGCAGCACCTGTAGGCGCAGAACTGGAAGCGCCATTACCCTTTTCAGCTGCTTTCCCAGAACCCTTGCGGGTATCCTTCGCCCTGCATTCTCGGGCCCAATGGCCTCGACGGCCGCAACGATTGCACGTAGTGTGTCGCTTCATCTCCTCCACCTCAACTCTGAAGGCCCGTTTGACCTCACGGGACTTCTGGAATTGCCTTGTCTTCTGCAGGCGGTTCAACTCTTGTCGGCGCTCTTTCCATGAAGTGGCCAAAACTTCTGCCACCTCAGCTTCATTGAAACTCTCGGAATCCTGCACCCAGTCCTGACTGGCCTGATGGTCTTCCAGCAGTTGCTCAACATCAGAGAACTCTTCTTCCCACTGTTCCGGCAAATCGGCCAGCTCGTCAGGGACTTCCTCAGCAAGGGCCACGGCTGTTCGCCGTTTGCTGATCACCAATTCCGGGTAGCAAGATCGAAGGGCGGCCGCCACCGATTCTCGCTTCAGATCACCTCGAGCTCGGGCAATCACCACCGCCTTCTGCTCCTCTGTCAAACCTCCACGATGGAGGAGCAACCATCCCCGGGCCTCATCGGGGAACTGTGCTCCAGTCTTTCGATGACAACGATCGAACAGTTCTGAGGCTCGTGCTGCCCATTGTTTCATGTTCTCTCCCTCCTGACCACGGAGGTTGAAAACTTCTCCCAAGATCTCGCCAAGCTCGTCGACAACCTCCTGCTGTGGAAATCGTTTGTCCAGGAGGTCAAAGATCACCTTGTCACCATCCTTCTTCTGATACGCATCTGGTTCAAGGTGCTCAACAGCTTCCAGTGCCTTTCCAGATAGCAGAGTGTAAACATATGCTCCCCTTGCGGTCTCGGGGAGCTTGTCCAAAGTCAACAGCTTATTGCGGACCCAGGTCTTCCATCGCCTATACTCTCTCCCATCTTCGTTCTCTCCTGAGAACCCTCGGTTCGAAGCGGCTTCCCCAGCCGCCACCGAAGTCGACGTCATGTGTCACGGGTGTGGACCCTCGCCGGAGGGTCAAACTCCAAAACCAAGGATCAAAACATGGCTATGGAGCCCAGGACGGCCTGGGCTCCGCTACCAATTGCGGAGACACGAACCCTCACCTAAGGGCTACAAGTGAGCTCTTCTTTCCACGGCCTGAGCATGAAGGTCCCTGTCGTGTCACGGGTGGACATCAAGATATATATACGATTGAGGTTTCACGGCATTCATTTGCACCTGGCTGAGGTGCCGCAAGTTGATTGGGCTCCCTGGCTGTCTTGAGAAGTAGGAATACGAGGATGTGGTTCATGAAGATATATGCGATTTCGGGATTTCATGCAATTTTTAGTTGCAAGTGAAGTACAATGGTGAAGTTTGAGGTTTTTGCTGACACTCGATAGTGCAAGGTGGCTTTCTTGCAAGCGGCGGTTGAGCGTGCGAAACCTGAGATAGATGCCAGGCCTAGAAGAGTCTTGTGCCGAAGCTCATGCAGTTGTTCTTGTTTGGGTATCTCTCCCGGAGCCACTTGCTGAAGCTGCTAGTTTTCATGGAGTTAGTGTTCTTTTTTGGTTCGGAGGCTCTTGAGCTACAAGCCTGTGCTAGCGGAGTTCCCACACTTTCTCAGCACCACAGAGGCGTGAGGATCCCACCTTTTCAAATTGCTTGTATTCTCATTCCCTAAACTTTGATGATCCCCCAGCCCACTATTGACAATCTGGCAAGTTCACAAAGAGATAAAGCAATGGGACATGTTGATTTGTCCATGCAACGGCTCTAAACGAGTTGCCAAAGCAGGATGAGCGTGAATGTCTTTAAGATCGCCACTTAGAGACTTAGAAGACACAAGCGTGGCAGGTCGAGGCTTTGAGTCAAGTGGCATGGCGATCTGGTTTTCAGAGAGAGGTGGTCCAAGCAATCGCTCACACCCGAAGCTAACGATTGCTTACAAGTAGTGTCCTTGCTCCTAGTAGCGATGCCCTTTGTTACTAGTAGCGTCCTTGTTCCTAGGGTTGCTCACAATTTCGCTCACTTCTGCAATTTTGACAGGACGACTTGCCGCAACTTGTTTGCCAATAAGCAGTGTTGCCGTTTAGATCATTCTACCGATTGTTGGCATTGCTGATTTTTACCGCCACGCCCATGGTGCACTGAAAACCTTGGAAGCCCTCCTAGAATATCATTTGGTTGTACAATCTTCCACAATGCCATCCAAATGCTCCCTGCAGCTTGATGATAAGGCAGGAGGTGCGTGACGTGCACAAAGTGGATTGTGAAAGAAGTGAAGTCCTAAGTTGAGGGCAAGTTCTGAAACTGGTTCAATCCTAAAGAGGCGGGTAAGCTCTGAAAAAGCCAGACCGACTCGAAATCACATCACTTGTTTGTAACACCAACAGCACATGAAGCAGGTCACAAATGTCGCCGTTTCATGTGCTCCGGACCGAGCTTACCTCAATTCACCGAAGGAAGCTGCTTGTTGGATCCTTTGATACAAGAGATCTACCAACGTCTTTCTGATCTACTAGGCCCGGAATGGGCTTCCGGCTTTTGTTTGTAGCCCGCTCTCCCCCCCTTCCTGCTTAATTAAGTAGGCACCTACTTAATTAAGTAAGGAAGAGATAGCTACTAGCTACTTAAGATTCTGGCATGGACGCAGGATAGCTCACGCTTCTTCAAGGAAGCTCCCCCCGCCCCCCGCCCGAGGGCGAGGGGAGCTTCCTTGAAGAAGCGCTCGCAGGAATGATTTGGTTCGTAGATTTTTTGATGTTACAGGTACCTTTAGATTGTACGCTAAATATTCAGTATACACAAAGCAGCAAGGTTTGAGGTCGTCGGACAAGCATTCTCACTACGACCGGCAATGCAGTAATTACAAGAAAGGGGAGAATTGCACACCCACAGCAAATCTGTTTGCAACCAGGCATCCCACCACAGAACTTTGAATCAATGGAGCTGCTCGGCACTCTTTATTGCAGGAAAGCCAGCCAGTAGGCCAGGCTGAAGTTCTATTCTGCAAAAGAAGTGATTTCAAGGGAGGTCCACGAAGTGGTGATTTTGGTGTTCTAAGTTATATGCATGTTTCTTGATTGCTTTTTCAGCAACGTTCTGACCGTGGGCTCCCGTTGGTGCTAACCCTATCTAATGCTAGTTGCTTCTTTGATGGGCTGATTGCTGGAAGTGAAATGATGGGGTAGTGGGTAGGCTCTGTCTTTGCGATTGGAGCAAAAGGCGATCTTGGTTGCTGCTCCGGAAGTGGAGCCCTTGAACTATATTCCAATGAACCAGTGACAGAGGCGTTTTTGTTTCCCAATGCACTGCACGAGAGTCATTGGAGGACTTGTTTCTGGACAAACACTCGAGCAGAATGCACAAACACCAGACACACGAGTCTCTCGCCATGTAGCGTCCTCTTGCTCCTAGTAGCGATGCCCTTTGTTACTAGTAGCTTCTTGTTACTACTAGTAAGGCACTTGCTCCTAGTAGCGTCCTCTTGCTCCTAGTAAGGCCAGGAGCCCCTACTCGACGTCCGGTGCATTGAGCAGATGTTCGATCTAATCGTGGCGACATCGTGTGTCCCCAATCTCCGAAGCGCCACGATGTGTGCTCCACATTCAACTAAAGCCCCTCTTTGTAGACCCCCACACTAAGTATCCCCAATCACCATAGACTAGCATCGCAATGTTTGATACTCTAGCTACGTACAGGAACACGCACCACTAGGCCACTAGGCAGTAGAGGCTGGGCCTCATGCAGTGTTGGCGTATCTTGCCGTACAGCTTGCGAGATGATGGCGTGCTGCGTACAGCACGTGCAGTTGCGACCAAGAAAGCCAGAGATGTAGATTGAGCTGTCCAACAGGTTCTGCAACTCGCAGCTAGTGTCTAGGGCTAGTTGGGGGAAGTCAGTTTTGTAGGGTGCATGTATGCTAGGCTAGAACGTCGTCTCGCAAGCTGGAATTTTCGGAACCAACAAAATCATAGCTGTCCCAAGGGTGCCCTAGGCACAGTAAGAAGACTCTCTTAAGGTCAATAGATCGCATTTTCCGAACCACTCAGGCGAGTCTGACAGATTGAATCCTTGTTTACGGGACACCTGCCAATGTTTAAGACCACTGACCAACAGTTACTTTCTCCTTGGAGTTAGTTTTCAACAGTGGTCTTCTCTTCTCAAGGTTCTTGCTTTACGAGAAAGGTTCGAAGCTTATTGGGTTTCCTAAAGACCAAAGACGGGAAACGGCAACTGCTTGCAGTTGTGAGACACGGCAACTGCGCAACTGCGTGGTGCGAGGTCAGCACTACGAGCCTCACATGGATGATGAGAGGTGGTGGGAGATGCCAGCCTTGAGTGCAGGAGAAACGAGCACGTTGGAGTTCTATCTTTAGAACCCCTGTGTGGTTCAGTTTCAGACACTACTATTAAGCTTGGAGAAAGAGCTACGCAGACTGCTCTTTGCCTGTTGCTTTGGCAAGACAACACAATATCAACATCCGTCAAACACGGTATGTAGAGCAGAAGATGTGAGCCGCCTTCAATGCCTTCAACCTCAAGAATTTGAAGGAAAAACACGAAGCGATGGGGCCTCGGGGGGCCCCCAAAGCGATGCCGTACCAGAACAGGAAGGATGAACAGTGTTTTTTTGAGTGCATGCATCAATACACTTGTTTGGTTGAAAGCCGGCGTTACCAACTGTCACTAACTGCAAGAAAGCTATGCCTCCCCTCCAAGCTCAAGTCTACAGATGTCCAAGACTGTCGGAAGCTACAAGGAGGCCTCCCCGAATGTATTTGATGGCATGGGATTGAACAAGGACTTCTGACAGCCACACATATCGAGGCCTCTGCTTGCATTCGAGATGTTCAGAGATTAGCTTGCACATTTCTGGGCCAACAACGTTTCTCTGTTCCTGTATATATATATATCTATATAAGTGGCCCACCTACCCCCTTTGTTCTTTGAAAATGAAGTATGTCCATTTGGTTTGTTCTCCAAACAGTTTACTGTTGGGGTTCTCAATGCTTTTAAGTGTGTTCTGTGGACTGCTCTGTCCGCCTCGCGCTGCCCGACCTCTGGCGTGCAATCCCTTACATGTGTCTCCCAGCTCTGGACTGCCCAGCTCTGGGCTGCTGTGTCTGAAAAGCACAAACTGTGTGGGGTCTACGGTGATGTATTTTTTTCGATGGCTTATCCGCTTGCCCACCTTATTTCCTTTGAACTTTGCAGCTTCTTCTTGTGGCGCTGCAGGACTACGTGTTCTCACGGTCTTCTTTTACTTGTCTAAGGAGGGATGGGAGGGATGGGACAGTTTGTACTTTGTTGACCTGTCCTGTTTGCTGAAATCACAAAATACGTAAGTACCTTCAGGCTTGCCTGTCCTTCACCAATTTTGCCAGCTTTCCATTCCTTATGCCGAAAGTGTTTGCCTTTCCTCCAAGTTCTTAACTCCAAATTGGAATCAGAGTGTTTTCAAGATTTGTTGGCAAAATGACGTGTTTCCCAATTTTATATTGTTGGAATTGAGAATGCCTTTTGTCACGGGATTGTGTGGCAAGTGGACGAGACGCAAATAGCAGTTGTACCGCGATTCATTTTTCCAGGTGCATAAAGGTGGCACTTTGGCTGCATTTTGACACCCCATGTTGACTTTGGCTGCTATGGTATGTGCCGCATTGCTGAAGAGTCCGCCACCAGGGGAGACAAGCTTCCCCAATGCCAACCTTGTGGTAGAGCCACTTGCAGGACCGAATCGAGAAATAAAGGGAGAAGAGGGGAGAGAAAGAACAAAAGAGGATGAGAGAGATACAGAATGAGTAAGAAGAAGCTACTAGGGGCTCCCGGCATTGCTACTAGGAACAAGAACGCTACTAGGGGCTCCTTCTCTGAACCAAGTGGCCACAGGGAGTCGTTAGTTTGTTTGACCTTCTTACTTGACCCACTTGAGATCAACAGAATCGCCTTTAGCAAGCCGCATTGCCGCATATCTGGACTTGATGTGGCTGTGCGAGGAAAGGCCGTTGTTTGGGCCAATGTGCAGTCCAATATTTGGATCCTGGGACTCTTTTTACACCGGTCGAGCAGAGTCGAGCACGACTCGTTTCGTTGATGTTTGCCAATTTCCAAGGAAAATGGACGAGTACTCGTTGCATCAAGCAGTGCCAGTTGTTGCTGGCAGGAAAATCGTGTCCTGACCAAACTGCATAGCTCACGTAGTTTGAGCCTGGGGCCTTGCAAAAAGATGTTGGACAAACAGCTTTTATGAAGGGCTTGGGAAGGGAAGAGATGCTGCAATTTGCTGCACCACACTTGTGAGATTTCGTTCATTTTGGGCCTTCCAATATGTCCCTTGCAAATAATGTTAGCAAGAGGTAAGCACTGCTTGAGCAGCCTTGGTTGCCAAGGCTGCAAATTTCTGGGTGCATCCTTTTGAGTATCGCCTCTTGGACGAGCCTTCCTGTTCTTTTTGTATCTTGCTTTTGTAAACTTTCTTTTGGGAGGCCATCGCTTCTTTTGTTCAAACATGTGTTTTTCTTTTCTTCATGTTTCTTTTCAATGTGACGTGTTGAATTTGTCAAACTCCAAGGAGCGGCAGAGCGCTTCTGCCGTCACCAAGAGAAGACAGAAAAATGGTGACCGTGAGACTCAGACTAGACAAATACCAAGTGGAAAGTGAACCAAAAACGCTTTGAAGCTGACGATGTTTTTCTCACAATCTGAGTGGTGCTTCCTCCGGCTGTGCAGCACTTGTGAAGGATCCTGACAACAGTGTTGCAGCGTGCTTTACACACGCCAAGGTGCCACAGAGCCCGGCAATGTCCTGTGTTGAACCAACTTGTGCCGGACTCAATCTCGGCCTCTACATGGGCTAGAGGTAACGAGAAGTCAATGCGCTTGAAGCCAAAGCCCCAAGGCCATGCAGAGAGCCTTTTTTCAACGCCATTCAAAGGAGGTGGCAATGTTTTGGAATTCGTCGGATCCCTAAATTGCCTTGTGACTTATGACTTGTTGGCAGGTTTCACAAGCATCAGCAACTGGAGTTGCTCTTGCTAGCAAGTTTTTGTTGGTGGCCAGAATTGCAGCCATATGCATTTATCACTGCTAGGACCCCTTGCCGTGCGATTCCTCCCTGCCCTCTTTGCCCTGTCTGCCTGCTGGCTTTCGTCACCAACCCCTGGCCTCAAGCGAGACCAAGCAACCGAATTTGATTCCTGTGACTAACTCTGAAATTGCTCAGGTTCTTCCAGATGGAATGGAGCCCATCACCAACCATGCGTGGAAGCTCATCACTTTTGGACAAGAGCAACACAAGGGAAACCTAGTGAAACCAAATTCAGTGAACCTTCTCACACTTTGTGCAAGGTGATGCACACCATAGTCCTGCGTGGTTGTGGCCTTGAATCCGCCGTGCGAGACGAAGTGAAAGGGAAGGGCCAATAGAGTAGAGTTCGTCAAAGAAGAAATGGAGTTCGATCCAAAACGTTCTTAGTTCGTTCGTCTTAGTTACTTATATAGTCTCTTTCAATGCCAAATTGAATGGTGAATGTTCCGCATGTAGAAGGTGTATAATACATGCATATGTATATGTATATATAAAGAGAGATTGGCCTTTTGAGGAGATTGCCAACAGCCAACTTCAAATTTGCAAGAATGCCTCTCAGTATTGCCAGGTTCACCAATTGGTTTCTGATGCTCTTTTTGTTTTCCCCAGCCTTCCCTAAATAGCTTGTGGCCACAACAACAGGCACGAGACTGTGCTTCGTAGTCGTAGCCGAATAGTTTCAAATTGTGAAGCAAGTCGATGAGCCATGAGAGCCGTCGGTTGCACCCTTTGATCTGAAAAGTCTATTTCCGATTTCAGAACATACGGTAACCCGTACCATACCCTTTCATGGCGAGAAAAGCCTCAAAGAGTCTCATGTCCGACTGGACGTGGAGCAGTTGTACAACTCAGCTAGTCAAACAATCAGTCATTTTGTCGACAGGGCAGAGTTTTTGGGTCAGTGGCGGGAGGGACTCAAGAACGGCAAGCTGGTAGGATTTGTGAAGGCAGAAGGGCAGAGAGGTGGGATTTGACTTTTGCAGTCAAGGACCAGTGAAGTTGCTGCCCAGGACCACATTTTCGACTCCCTCCTGGAGGCTTCATGTGAGGGCTCCCAAATCTCTTCGAAAGTCTTGGTTGAAGTTGTCTTCTCAGCTCAAAATCTGACATTCGAATTGTGGCCATTCCTGTCAGATTGATTAGAATTTACGATTCCAGAAGATTGTCAGATTGGGTGGTTGCCGTTGCCAAACCAGGCGATGAAGTACAATGTTGTGGAAAGTGTGAAACAAAACTAAGAATATCAATAGGTATGGAGCCTTGGCTTTAAATGACGTGTACATTTCTTTGTTCCCTTTATGCCTTGGTCGACTCGTGCTGCCAACGGCGCCTTGAGGCCAACTCGCCTAGCAGGTGAACTGTTCTCGACCGATCGTGAGAGGCACACAGTTTCTTGTCCAGTCCCATTTTGAAGTACTGACTTTTGCTTCGTGCGTCTCTTGAGCTTTGCTTGCCTTGGCTCATTTTCTGTCTGCTGAGAGTTCAAGTAGTTTGCCGAACCATTTCGCAGGTACTTGTGAGTTTAAAGTGATGTGTGCTTTAAAGAATATCATTAGGATGGAGGCCATCGCTATTAGGGACCAAGTGGTCTTGTGACCTACATCCGCCACTTGAGATTCGATCGAAAAGACGCTGCCTGCAGGCGAGTGTCCTACGCGGAGTCTGTGGGGCTTTTGCCATTTGTCCCAGTCAAAGTGGTTGTCCCCTGAGCAGAAACGCTGCATAAAAAGGAAGACATGTTTTTACAAGAACCATTTGAATGCTTTTGAAATCTCTTGAGAACATTAATCAACAATGTTTGTTCACTTCAAGTTGAATACCAATGGCAATACCAATGGGCCTTCCTGTGTTCTTTGCTGCAATGCATAGGTGGGTGGGGTCCTGCAGCCCACTGGGAGCGAGCCCTTTGCTGACGATGCCTGGAATCCAGTCTCACGAACGAAGAACTGAAGGAACAACATTACAGAAAAGAGACACTGAGAAAGAAGATGAAAGAAGAAAGAGGAAATGAAAGAAGCCGTGCAATGGAAGCAAGCATGGGAAGAGCAATAGTGCTCACAAATAAGCTGCAAGCAAACGGGCAAGAATGGCAAATGGGGAGCAAATCAATTCTAAATCAACAGACAGTTCAACTACGATTAGTAACAAGGGCATTACTACTAGTGGCAAGAAGCTACTAGTAGTAATGCCCTTTGTTCCTGGTGGCGATGCACTTATCGCGTTGGACTTCCAACATGGTTAAGTTACATTTCTTCCCGGACTGAAGCCTCTTGGCGGTCTAGGTGCGGAATGATGTTTTTCTGCGGTTCCGCCTGGCTTCGGCGCTCCACTCCAGCACAATCGGCATTTTCGGAGAAACGTGGAGAAAAGAACTTGTTACTAGTAGCGATGCCCTTGTTACTAGTAGCTAGAAGTAGTTTCTAGCTACTAGTAGCGATGCACTTGTTACTAGAGCACTACAGAGCACTACAGAGCACTTTGCACTTTGGGGAAAATGTCAGTAGTGCCAGGAGGCAATCTTTCAGCCTCCCTTACCATTATGCTGCAACTTGGCGGAACTTAAGATCAGTGGCATACAACATACAGGCTCAATCAGCTACATGAACCTCAAGTCGCAAGTACTTTCAATCAAGGGTGGCTTTCCAGGGTGTGTCAATTACCGAGGCCCGTAGGATACACTGTGCGAGAGGTAGGAGTTCGAAGCTCAGACGAAGCCTGCCATCATGGTAGCTCAACGAAAGCAAATGGCAGTTGGCGTGTACAACAAGACCTCTCAGACAAAGCTGACTCCCAACAGTCCACTGTTAGCAACTGCTCCCTGAAAAGACCTTACTTGCAGAGAGGCCCTCTGAAAGAAACGTTTTCTGTTCAAGAGAGGATCGCTCCGCTGTCCACTCCTCCAAAGGTCTCATTGAGTTCCACTGTTATCTTCACGACCAGGCTGTAGATCTGCCGCTGTGGTCACGGCAGCTGTCGCTGATTACTAAGACAACCTGAATGCTCAGTGCGTTGGGCTTCAGATTGGCTTCACAAAGCCTTTGCTTTTGCTAAAAGCTATCAGCAAAAAGTTTTGGATAGCTTTGAGGTCAAGTCAGATGGGCGACGCCTGGCTGTGTTCAACAAGGCGCTCTGAGCAGAGTTGCCCAGCGAGCTTTTTTGGTGCGTTGCCGAAGTTCAACCACTTCAAAGCAGGCAGTTTAAGCATGTTTAAGCACCTTCCATCTCCAGCTTAATTGTCTTCACGGCTCATCTCAGCGATGCTGCGCTAAAACGAATCATTAACGCTAAAACTATTTTGGAGGCCAAGCCGCACACGGGCCCATTGCTGTTCAAATCAAAATTTGCTTCCACTAGTCGGTTAGTTCATCCGAGCAACCAAAAACGTCGGGAAACCTATCTCCCCTCTCTCCGCTTGACAGTGTTCTCTCCAAATGCAGCTTCTTTTGCTTGTTCCGCCAGTGTGTGCATCGATTTGTTGGAAGTTGGAAGGTTTTGTACCCTAACCTTGCACAATGCGGTCATCTACACTGGCTACATTGTGGTGCCTTCGCCTGATTGCAAGTTGTTTTCCAGTGCCTTCCTGTCGACAGCTGCGGCAGGTACACTTTCTAGTGGACAACCCCATGACGCCACTGAAGGTGAACTTTGAGGGAAACCGCTGGGCAGCTCAGGATCCATGTCAAGCGATGGACTCACTCTTCCCCTCAACTTCTGCAGGTTGGCGGATCAACATCACAGGTCCGGGGGATGCAGAGAACCTTGTGAGCTTCCCTGAACAAACGTCACGGGTCTCAGAAAGACAACATGAGAGCCTTGAGTTTCATTGGACAGCAGCAATTTTGCCGAAGCTTCTTTCCTGAGTCGTTTTTCCCACGAGAACATGTTTATTGTTTACGAAAGATGAGGTTAGAGCCGCCCTCTTCACAGGCCATTGGACAGTGTCTCTCTTTTGTGATGAAACAGCATTAGTCCAAGGAGCTTTCGGCGTGTTGCAGAGCTGTTTGTTGCTCAGATTTTCAAAGGACTGAAGGCCTGTCCCAGCATGGACCCCTTGCGGATCGTGTTACTCATAGCTTTCAGCCAAGTGGGCGCTGAAAAGGTGTACCCGTTTGACAAGGTGCAGTGGGCGCACTGAAGCTTTGCTATGGATGCTTAATATTGCATCGATCTAAATGTTATTCTCCCCCTCTCAAGTTCCAACAACACATTACTTAATTGACAAAGCGTTTTTGGGTGGATGATTGAGGGTATGTCCATAATATCCCGTAATGATTGTCCACGATAGTTGCTCATTATAGTTGCTTCCTGAAAGCCTCTCTTACTTCCGTGCCTGCACGCGAACGAGGACTCTTCCAAAGTAGGTCACCCCACACCATCACGATGACGCGCAGCGTCTCCTTCGTGCTGCATAGGTGGATTTCATCGGGCGCTGGTTTGAGGTTGGAGCTCAACAGGCTTCAAGCTGGGGCACTGTTTCTTTTGCAGTGACCTTCAAAGGCTCAAGTGCCTTGGCGACAGACTCCCAATAGAAATGGCCTCCAACCTACTAGCAATGGCCTCCATCCTAAGTTTGGACATGTTCACTATATATATATATAGCTGTATTCTGAAACTAACACTCCCTGCTGAGTCACGAACGCGCTTTTGTGCATACGTGCATAGACCGCATAGAGGCTTGTATCAGAAAAAAGTAAAGGGGGTGAGGTTGCAGGCAAGAAAAGCCTAGAAAAAGCGATAAAAACGGAAAACCCTAGCTTGAAAGAGTAAAGAGGTTTGGATGTGAGAGGGGTGTTCCATAAGGGGTTCGCCAGGTATGTGGATGAACCATTCTGTCAGGGTTTCTTGAGGTTTTTGTTACAGGTGTTTTGTGGACTGTTCCTTTGTCAGACCTTGCTTGAGACTTTGCCATTTAAAAATGGTTTCTGAACGTTGACCTGAGGCTTTGTGACCCTTTCTTTGTCATGAGACCTTGCTTGTTTTGAGACCTTGTGAGACCTTGCTTTTTATGAGACCTTTCCTTTGTGAGACCTCGTGCGACCATTTGAGCATCTTCTTTGTCATGAGACGTGTTATCTTTCGAGACCTCTCGTTTTTGTGAGACCTTGCCATTTGAGACCCTGTCTTTTCATGAGGTTTTGCTTCATGAGACCTGGCTTTTTGTGAGTCCTTGTGTGAGACCTTGCCATGTGAGACCTCTCTTTGTGAGACTTTGCTTTGTGTGAGACCTTTCGTTTTTGTTAGAGACATGGGGTGAGACCTTGCCATTTGAGACCCTTTCTTTGTCATGAGGGTTTGCTTCATGAGACCTTGCTTTTTGTATGACCTTGTGTGAGGCCTTGCTATGGGAGACATTGCTTTGTGTGCGACTTCTCCTTTTTGGAGACCTTGGGCGAGACCTTGCCAATTGAGACCTGTCTTTGTCCTGAGAACTTGCTTTTGGTGAGACCTTTCCTTTTTGTGCGACCTCTCGTAAGACCTTGACATTGTCCTGAGACCTTTCCTTTCTGTGAGACCTCTGGTGAGACATTGCATTTGAGGCCCTTCTTCGTCCTGGCACCTTTCTTTTTGTGAGACCTTTTTCTTTCTGTGAGACCTTGCCATTTGAGACCATTTCTGCGTCATGAGACTTTGCGTGACTCTGCTCTTGTGAGGCGTTTCCTTTTGTGATACCTCACAACCTTTCCTTCTGCAAGACCTTTCCTTTTTGTCCAGAGAATTTAAGGTGTGAGAGATTGACAGGCAAGGCCCCCACACTAAAGGGGCGAGCTGCAATTAACGGGGCGAGCTGAGGAGAACCAGACGGTAAAGGACTGTCGTTGCTTGTGGCCTGAACGAACAAGAAGCTGGAAAGCACAACAAAAGCTTTGACAATCTTCAAAAAAAAAACATTAATAATAACCAACAAAAAACATAATATGCAGGATGTGAATGGTTTAATGCAACCTCCTGCGAGAGCCATGTGAGTCCCATCTTTGTCCTGAGACTGAGACCCTTGCCCTTTGTGAGACCTTTCCTTTCCATGAGACTTCTGAGACTTTGCTTTGTGTGAGACGTTTCTTTTTTGTGAGACCTCCGGTGAGACCTTGCCATTTGATCCCTTCTTTGTCCCGGTGAGACCTTGCTTTTTGAGACTCTTCTTTGTCGGTGGGATCTGTTTTTTTGTGAGACTTCCTGTGAAATCTTTCTATTTGAGACCTTGCTCAAACATATATTTCTAAACATACATACTCAAACATGCTCTTTTTCATCACTCACCTTGAGAAAAAAACACTTTCTGGACTCCAATTCCACCAAAACCACACCTGCCCAGCGTTTTCCATGTTTTTCAATATGTTTACAGCTTTTTCCAGCAAGAGAACACACCCCATTTAGAGCTCACCGCATTAACTGTTTACCAATTGTAACATCGCAATTGAGTTGGAGGCCATCACTAGTAGGTTGGAGGCCATTGCTCTTAGGTTAGATCGCATAGAGGCTTGTAACATCTTCTAACCGAAGCGAAAAAACAAAATTGCCTCACTGGCTTGACCTGAGGTGGTTGGTGGCTCGCATACAACCATACAATGTGGAGATGTATCACACTTGTCAGGTGGATGACAACGATCCCTACGTTTTGTCACATCAAAGTGGATTGATGGAGATTGCAAGGGGACTTGCCAAGGAAGAGACCCACACCATAAAATGTGGCCGCAACACTGAGGCATTTTATGGAGTGACAATTTTAGATGCTCTCTTGGTGGATGACAGCTGTGTGGCATTGTCTCCTCCAAGCATAGCAAATGAGTTACATGTGGAGTTCCTGGGTGATTCTATCACGGCGGGATGGCAGGTCTTATTGAGCTCAGGCTCATGGGAACAGGGCGGTCCAAGCAACGAGGATGTATTTCACAGCTATGCTGGACGCTTAGCCCAAGCTTGGACATCAAATTGGCGTGTCGTTGCCCAAACGAGCATTGGTGTCCTGCCACATTACTCTTTCGGGACCAACTTCAAAGGTATGAAAGATCAGTTTCTATGTCGAGAGCTAAAGCTCTATGAGCCTTGTCCCAAGGAGTGGAATTTCGAGTGGCAAGCTGATGTAGTTGTGATTAATTTGGGAACCAATGACTTTATCTTCAACAATCCAAGTGAGTCTGAATTCCAGTCAGCATATGCAACATTGATTGGGCTGGTTCGAAGCAAATACCCAACGGCCCTGATCTTTTGCGCCTCACCTTGCTCAATCCAAGTTTTGACTGTTTGATCTCGAAATCTCAATGATTGTTAGAACTTGGAACTTATAGTATGATGTTTGTTTGGGATATGTTTGCTTATTTAGTTATGTTTGATCAATCTGTTTGCGTGTGATAGGCATTGTGCCCCTGGTACAATCTTGCAAGCCTGATGCAAAATGGCAAAAAATGATAAATGGAATCACGAATGCAGTGGCGAATGCAGTGAGTTCCGGCGATGAACGGATTCTATTGCAAGGCTCTGGAGATACACAGACAAGATTGTTGGATTGCATCAGTGACTACGTCGATCAGATCCATCCCACTCAGCAGGGCGCCCTACGCTTTGCAGAGAAGTTGCTACCCATGATGACGCCAAAGATTCGAGAGAACTTTCCTGAGAAGTGTCAAGGTGAAGGAAACACATGTGGAGCTCAGAGCGCTTCAACCACTGGCCTTAGCAGAACAAGCTCACAAACGACAGACACTACAATTGTTTCCACCTCAACTGTTGGTGGAATTGGTGGATCTGGTGCGATGTGTTGCTATCCCAGTTGCAATGACCCTGCCAGGGTATGCAATGATGAGACGGAGAGCGAATATTGCACCAGTTCTCCTGCAAAATGCCAAGCTTGTGGAGGGGAGTTGTGTGGTCCCACAGCGACATCGACCAGTGGAACGACGTTACCAGCTACCACCGAAAGGACTGACATTCGCGCTTTCACGTTGTGAAGTTGTGATTTGGGCTCTTAGAAATATGACATATGATGAAATAATGGTGTGTTTGCAAATTATGTTTCAGGACCACTATTGGGACCACCTCTCAAAGCTCTCAAAGCGCTGAGTGTTGTTATCCTGACTGCAGCAGTTCTGTGTGCAACCCTTCAAACAGCTATTGCAGTCGGTCCTCAGAGAATTGCCAAAAATGTGGTGGTGAACTTTGTGGAAGGGTAGAGACACCGACAGAGAGCCCGACAAGTACAATGGTTACAAGTTCCGCTTCAGGTGGAGAGCTCTTCAAGTGTTGTTATCCCGATTGCAGTTCCCAAGTGTGCAATGAGCCAGAAGATAGTCCTTATTGCACCAGCTCTCCTGAAAAGTGCAGCAATTGCGGTGGGGAGCTTTGTGCTTTTCAAGCCAATGGGCTGGTCGCAACTTCCCTAAGAGATGAGAGCTAAAGAAACGAACAGCAATGCCCTAGTGCCCCAGTCGGCAGTACCCAGTCACTACCCCGTCAGGGTCCAAGCCACGCGACGCCATTTGCTTCTAGCATCTCAGGCCTGTGTAGATGGCCTAGCAATTTTGTGTTTAGAGGTGTTTCCTGCCAAGGGGAGTTTTGCCTTCACGATCTCTCATGAAACAATCTCACTTGCCTACCCCCTTTAGGTGGCACTGGAATGGCCTCTAGTTTTGATATTTGTCAGGAGAATACAGAAACTGGGTCAAGAGCGCACAGAAGCGTGAAGGGCATTCCTGTGAAGCTTGGTTTCTAAAGGTAGACTTCTGCAGAACATGGGTGTTCCTTTTGCTCGCTTTTTTCCCGATTTTGACCCAGTCTACTTGGGCAGTAACACTCCATCTGGCTCAATTTCGGGTGGACACTGAAGAGGACCTTCCCGAAAAAGAGCTAAAGGACCTTGTAAAGGCGCTGCGATCTCCGTGGGCAAAAAAGTCGCACCTTTGTTTTTCTTCATATTACACGATTGAACTCGTTTCAGAATAGAGCAATGCAGGAATACTCCGTTCCCTTCCTGAAAACATGAGTTCAGTCACATAGTGCATGACGAAACGACACCATCATAAAATCATTGTCAATAATATTAGGCAAAAAAGAACATGCCTGGTATATAACTCCCCCAAAACTGCCCTGCTTCAATCAAAGCCACAGTCTGTTTTTTCGTTGGGGGAGCGTCAGGCAAGTTTGGTTGCGTCCACGGTATTCGTCTCAGACTTTCTGCGCTGCAAAGACACCTGTAAGAAAGACACCGAACATGATGGATGCCCATGTGTCTATTTTGCATGTTTCGTTGTATACTCGTTATATGTGAGGGGCTTGATGTCGCTACCGGAAGGGCAGAGCCGTCATTGGAACCACAGTGCAGCAGCTACATGCCCACGCTGTTTCGAGTTGCAAAAAGAATTGTCCAAGCTCTGAGAGTTTGCCACTAACGGACCCTCGCATGATTCCCGAGGCTGTTCTTGGGCGTATCACTTTGCCAAGTGGGTGTGCTCAGATTGAGCACCTGAACACTTGTACCATCTTATAGATATACGGGAGGCGTGAGCCTTTTCATTTCTTACAGATATACGGATCTCAAAAAGCGTTCAAGGTTGGTTTAGTCAGCTGAGAGCAAGGAACGCCTTTGGGCTTGCAAGGATTAGCCACGAGGGGCCACATTGCAATGGAATCCATGTCTGCATCTTGCAGCGGCCATTGTGTTTTGGCTTCCTTTTCATTATTTGTTCTGGCTTGGCTTGTGCACTGACAAAGGATGCTTCATACAGGTGGAGTAAGGAGGACAGCCAGCAACAATCTCCAAAAAGTCGTGGGAGGAGCGCGAAGTTGTTAGAGGGAGATACAGTGACAGCGCCTGTAGTGCACGATCAACTGCATGGGGTAGTGACGATAGCTCAGACATTTCACTCGGCCCAAGAATTTTTGTTGGCTAAGTGACCAATTGACCAGTTCCATTCTACTATTAGGTTGGAGGCCATCGCTTCTAGGTTGGAGGCCATGGATCTTCAGACGTGCGACTGAAGGTTTGCTACCTTCGAGCCTTTGGCAGGGTGCTTTTCGCAGTCACACACTTAGCACCCTCTCAAAGTATGAGATCCCTTCTGGACTCAACCACGACAAGACTCTTGGAACAAACAGTAAGCAAGTAATTACAAGTGTTTTGCATCCGCCAAAATTGCCGAAAGATGCGGAAGGCATACTTGTGACTGACCGGCTAAGGTCTTGCTCGAGTCTTCCTTCGCACCCAACAGGGCTGGGCTTGGCTCTCAATGGCAAATGCGAAAGGGATTTTGATGGATTTTGGCCATAAAGCAACGACCACAAAATGTAGTATTTGAGTCATTATCGGTTCATTTTCCTGAACTCTTGCCGCGGCTGTCAAGCAGCTTCCTGATTGAATGCAAAGCCAAGCGAAAAACAAAAGATAGACAACAGAAACCAAAGAGGCAAGTGTTGCTTTTGGCCCAAACTCAAGGTTGGCGAGTTCGCAGTGCAGATGATTGTGCCCAAAAGCTTTGGATTTGATGACCCCTGCTTCGTGCAGGAGCAAGGGCTGCTCGTTATGGGCAAGTTGCAACTTAGACTTTCAAGGTTTCAGGTCCAAGGTGTTCCTTTTCTCACGTTTAGGGGTAGGGTATGGGGTCGTGAGCAAGGGCCTGGCTTGCCAGCTGGTATGCACTGCACCATTGCACCCGAACCGTAGCGTCAGGGTCAGCACAATAGCTCACAAGATTTCGGAGGGAGTTTCTGTTTGCAACTCAAACAATGAAACAAAAAGTTAGTGACCAACAAGGACTGTGTTGTTTGAGTGTCTTCAGTTGTCATCTTGAGCAGCTCGAATTTGATCGTTTGTTCTCGTGCCAGGACTTGCCAGAGCCATACTATCGTCCCCGCCAAGGACTCCTCGGCCCCACCACCAGCCGATCACCAAGCACTGAATAGTGAAGTAGCCCTTCAATGGAAAAGCGTGGATCCAGAGCCAAGCATTGAATTTCTTTCAGCTTGTGAGGTATGGAAGAAGAATCTGGGGTCACGTTGCATCGAATTCCTCGCGCTCAACGCTGAGAAGAATCGACAAATTCACTCGCGAGATCTGCAAGTGGCGAGGTCACTCGATGCCTTGCTCGTCGAGTCAGGCTCTGAAAGGTCTTTGGGTCCCAACAGCGACTCTTCCGGTGGGCGAATGAGAGCCATATAGAGCCAAAGGAAGCACGCAAAGCCGCATAGCAGTTGGAGGTCCATTTGACCGCAAAAGCTGTTTGCACAAGTCGAGGTCTCAAGCTTTGCCAATGCCTCTGACGAGGACGCCAGAACTGGCTTCAGGCTGAGGCAGAAGTTGAGGCTCTAGAGTTCCATGTGATCAAAAGGGCTGTGACCATGCAGTGTTGCAAAAGGTATAGCATTTGTTGAAGCCTGGCTCGACGATTGTTGGCACACCTTGAGAGCGGCCAGCTTTGGCTGTTGCAGTTTGGAGGACACTGTGCGGCTTGGACCTGAAGTCTTACCACACATAGCGGAGGTCTACACAACAGGCCCAAGACACAGACACATTCAGAAGGCGGACTGGAGCATGCAACAAGGAGCAAGGACGCTACTGGTAGCTCCTGGCATTACTAGGAACAAGAAGCTACTAGTAACAAAGGGCATCGCTACTAGCAACAAAGGACATTACTACTAGTAGCCATTCTTGCTACTATAGCGAAGAACTTTTGTCCTTCTCTTTGAATCTTCGACCTGTTTGAGGTCCCATGATGGAAACCACGATGTATGGCTTTGCCATTTTCATCCGCCACTCGAGCTTCACGCAAGGCCATCGTCCGGTCATCCACACTAGAAATATGAGAGTACACTGAGTATATACACTAACATTCTAGGATCAATGTGCAGCTCACCGTGGAATGTGTCCAATTTTGTCAAAGAGGTCTGGCCCGGTTTTTTGATCGTCCAGCTAGTGATTCAGGTGGTAACTTTCAGCTTGCTACATTCATCCAGGGAGAATCTCACCTGCACTGGCGCTGATGGTGCGCGCCAAGTCGAATTGAAGCAGTTCCTCTAGGTAAGGGGCATTCCCATGTGGCAATTCCAGTCTGCAATATGCACGACAGACCAAGGAAAATTGGGAGATGCTCGACCGAGTAGATGATGTTCCATTGATGCCATTTGCAAGTAGTGTGAACCTTTTTGCCGAGGCATCGCGGCATCGCACATAGCTTTGTTGCAGTCGGTTAGTGTCAAAGCCTGTCAGCAAAGGATCAGTTTTGAACAAAGGATCGGCAAAGGATCGGCTGTACTCCTGCAATTCAATACTTATGTTGTTGACTCTGGGGATCACTTGGGTTGGTACAAGCGATTACAAGCGGTTGATGGTTGGTTCGGAGTAAGTTCTGGCTCCAGGCAGCTTCTGCAGAGGCCTTTGTCGCGCCAATGTTACCATTTGCTCTTACAGGGAAAACTGCAAGCGTGCAGCTCGGCTATGTTTCATTTTCTTCAGCCAGCAAGCAGCCTCTTGTTGACACATGTAAAACATCTGGGAATTGGCTTTCCTCATGTGTTACTTTGAACCATACCCCAGGCGTATCTTATTACGGCCGATGGTGTCAGATTCGCTCATATGGCAGAAAGTCTCCTGGCGCGTGTGTCCTGGTATGAATGACTGGAAGGGTGCAACTTACAAAGGCTGCTGAATTATTTGGAGTTGTTATGTAATGTAGTTGTTTTTTGGAATCAGTAGGTTATATTTTTGGATTGCAAAGACTGCGGTGTTTGCAAGAAGCCTACCTTTTTTGAGTCGCAAATTGGCCTCTATGTTTTGCACCCGCTCAGCGATGGAGCTTGCAGAATATGACATGTTGTGTTGGCTTTCTTTTTACTTCTTTTCATTTGCTTTCCTTTGCTTATTATCGTGTTGTTTTTGTTCTTTAGTGTTCTTTCTTTATGTTTTCTACAGATCTTTCTCTTTGCTTTAGTTGTTCTTCAAGAGAAGCTGCTGGGACGAGGTTTGCTCCACACACATACGTTTGGGACTTTGCGAGCTACAACTTTTTCTTCAGGCCTGGGTTGCATTAAAGATATGGAGGCTATGGCAAGATCAAGTTCAGAATCAAAGATAAACATGCACCAAACAGAAGTTCTTTGCAACCCTCGGGGATGTTTGGATTCAAAGCATCAATCAAAAGGCACTGAATAGACCGACTTGAAAGACCAAAGTAACCGTTTGAAGAATTGGGATGATTGGTCGAATGGGTAAATACTCAATTCCAGGCATTCACAAGTTCCGGGCAGCGACACGGATCTTCCGATCGTGAAGATACCATCTATGCCACGGACATCGCCACTGAATTTGCTGGTCTTTCAAGGCGGGCAAAACGGTGCAAGATTCCATTTTTCAAAGAGTGCACGATGAATGAAGGGCTTTCAAAAGCTGAAGGGCTCGATCTTTGGAAGATGAATGCTGTGCAAGGTGCAGATGAAGCCTCTCCTGGCTGGGTCCACAATTCTACATATGGCTTTCGCCACATACTTGGAGAATTGAACATCCTGGCGATCAATGTCGAGTAGGCATTCTTCCTTCAATAACAAGGAACCTAATAGCAATGGCCTCCAACCTCCAACCGCGATAGCCTCCAACCTACTGGCGATGGCCTCCAACCGACTAGCGATGGCCTCCAAACCCACTAGCAATGGCCTCCAACCTACTAGCGATGGCCTCCAACCAATTAGCGATGGCCTCCAACCTACTAGCGATGGCCTCCAACCTAGCGATGGCCTGCAAACCTACTAGCGATGGCCTCCAACCTAGTAGCAATGGCCTCCAACCTACCAGCGATGGCCTCCAACTCACTAGCGTTGGCTTCCAAACCCACTAGCGAGCCTCCAACCTAACAGCGATGGCCTCCAGCCTCCAACCTAATAGCAGTGGCCTCCAACCTACTAGCTATGGCCTCCAACCTACTAGCAGTGGCCTCCAACCTACTAGCGATGGCCTCCAACCTACTAGCGATGGCCTCCAACCTATTAGCGACGACCTCCAACCT